AGATCGTAACCAAATTCGTTCAAATTGGGCACAGTTGTTGGGGACCTCAATAAGAATTGTAAGAGCTGTAGGGGGGGGGGGGGGGGGGTTTGTTAACAATGTTGGAATAATATCAAAAAATTAAATCTTACCAAAGCACAAGATGACGCTTAATTTTCGTAGATAGAAATTAATAAGCAAACAACTGCGGTTAAATTTGCAAACTGTGATATCAGAATTGGGCTATTTTGGATCGATCTTTGAATGATCGATCTTTTTCATCCCGATTTCAGATTTTTTGTATCGATTATTTGTCCATCTCTTATTTCGATCTCAAATAAAAAAAAAAAAAACATTATTAAATTTTGTAATTGCTTTCAAGCTGAACATTGAATATACCAGAGAGAATAGGTAGAGAGGCGAAGAGTGAAAAACCGTGGAAACGGCAGCACTCTTTTTATTATGATTCCATCCTACAAGTTCTGGCAACTGTTTCTGAAGGGCACACTTCAAGTGACTTTTTTCAACCATCTATTTGTGTTGTTTTTACCCGCGTCAGAATTGTTTTTTTTTCGTTATTAAAATTTAATGATTGCTGATAATGAAGTGCGTTGCGAGTTTTTGTAAAAACCAGTATGTGAGTGGATACAAAAACATAACTTTCTTTCGATTTCCGAAAAATGAGGAAAGCAGGCAGAAGTGGATTCAGTTCTGTAGGCTGCCGGACGATTACATCATTACTGATAACAGCAGGCTCTGCAGCGTAAGACATTTTCTTGTTTTGAGATTGATTTTGCAATAATAATAATAATATTTCCAGCTTCATTTCAACTACGATGATCTGTATCGAATATCAGAAAACGGCAGACTAATGAGACTTCCAAACTCAGTTCCGATATTCGAATACGTTGCGAATTTGTGTTCGAATTCCAGTACCTGTGATTCGGTTTGATAACCAAATATTTGTATGATACAAACAAAAATATAACGCGTACCTATATTTTAACAGGACACCACCAGTGTAAACCAGTCGGTGTACATTACAAGTGCTTCCAGCGAGTCCCTGGGAACGATATTAACGGCATGCTCCACGGAACGCTCGGGACCATCGGGACCATCGGGACCATCGGTTCGTCTCAAGTTTGTTGTCAATAGTTAGTACATACAAAGCATATTTATGCATTAAAACAACATCTGGCAAATATAATATAAATCATGGATCTCATTAAAAAAAAACTAGTTTTATTTCTGATTCGAAACATCGTAAGTTTTTGGATTTGAGCGCTGTCAAAAAGAACCGAATTCCGTGATTGCAACCGGTGAGTCGGTTTGTTTGACAGCGTTCGGTAATACTTGGGTAAACCGATGTTCGGTTATTCCTGCTTGAATTGACTTTTTGTCAACCGAGTTTTTTCGGTTAGTTTGACAGGTTGTGGGAAAAGAAACTTTAACGAACACTCGGTTGTTTCTTTTTGAACCGAACAGACTACCGAGCGTTCAGCAGATAAAAACTCGGTTGAAATTGAACCGAGTTCGGTACTATTTTCTAAATGTGTATGCTTTTGCAAATTTTACAAAAAATTGATCTTTATACTAAAAGAATATAGAAATAAATATCCTGAATATTACTACATTTTAAATTCAAGCATTACTTTTTATTTGTTCATGTATTTTTCTCATCCTAAAAAGTTTTCTTCCAAATATATTCGCAGCGATTACAATACTTGTCTTCACCAAATTGGGGAACATCAACTTTTGTTTATTTTGTTCGATAGGGTACCAGTTTGACGGTTCGATAAGGTTTTTTTTGCTTCACACTCTTCGCCTCTCTACCTATTCTCTCTGGAATATACCACGCAGTCTGGGGTGAGAGTAAATCGATTTTTCGATTTAAATACAAGTTGAACATTTCATTAGGTCCTAAGTAACATTGACCGATTCTCTTAGTCGACTTTCTCTTTACTTCCCCACCGTGATGTAAGGACATTCCCAGGTATTTGCAGCATACAGATCGATAAAAGAAGTTTTTATCTAGCATCTATTACGACAAACACAACAAGAAACGGTTATATGCTCAAATTATAAACGGAAGAGAAAGTCGACGAAGAGAATCGATCAATGTTAGTTAGGAACTATTGCAATGTTCAGCTTGTATTTAAATCGAAAAATCGATTTACTCTCACCGCAGACTGCGTGGTAAATTTAACGAACATAGCGTCAACATCAGCATCGCTTGCTACAATGACGTCACTAGTTGTGTTTCCGATATTTACGAATACAGCAACATTTGATGGTTTTCGCTAACTCTCTCCTGTGCTCATTACTCCTTACCGCCACGAAAACATTTAATTGAATATTATAAAAGTAAGAATTTCTTGGAATACCAACGTAAACAAGCGTATAATCCATTCTATATGCATGAGTATTGATGGTCCAAAAGTGAGGATAGCAATAACAAACCAACATTTTTGGCTAGAGCGAAAGTAAGGATAGCAAACTAAGCACTTGGAAATTGGATTACGCAAGTGTTCGAGTTATAAACGTCAGAAAGGTTAATTACAATAAAATCCATAAGGTCGATCTATCAAAGATCGATTCTTTGGTACCGATTTAGTCAGTGGATCGATTCTAGAGCCAAATATAAGATCGATCCGTCAAGATCGATCTTCCTCTGAAGATCGCCCAATCCTATGTGATATCGCCGCAATTGGCGTTGACGGCACCGTCGAAAAATTTGCTCTTCCAGCAAATATAGACAGTTCTTATGGGAATTTTTGGTGGAGTGAAAGGATAGTACAAAGTCCGCCATGTTTCACGCACAGTGTGACGTTTGCTTATGGATTTTCTCATAAAAGTAAAGAGCTACAGAGTCGCCGTCAACGCCAATGCAACCGAAAGTTCCATAAAGCTGGGTTTAGACAGGGAAACCTAAGTAAAATTGTAAGTTTTATGGAGGTTTTAAAGCATGCTACAAGTCTAAATCATGGTCTACAGAACCCTTATAAAACCGAAATTGTTACTTGGGAAGTCAATTTATCAAGTCAATTGAATTCAACTGACTTCTACGCGACTTGAACGTGTAAACCATGCCATTCGATTGACTTGATCAACTCACTTGAATTGAAAAAAGTTGAACCAGGCTCAACTTTTCAAGCCAATTGAATTCAACTGAGTTGATCAAGTGACATGCCTAGTCTAAGCCCAGCTTAACGGCTGGCAGCAGTCGCTTCGTGTCTGTCATCGGCGAAGAGAAAAAAAAGATAGCATTATTATTCTCTTTCTAAGAAAACGAGGTGCAACGGAATCATTTTTGCGTCGATTCAACTCTCAGCTTTACACGTTGTGACTAGTCTAGCAATATCAAAGGTGCTTTTAAAATCAATATCAAGCATGATTTGTGCATGATCCAATATCATCCGTGATATTGAGAGCGTTTGAGAGCGGAAAAACATCAATTTGCTAATGATTATGCCATCACTGGTTGATAAGTTGACACACCCTAAGAGGGTGTCTTTATATACAAAGAGGTGGCCAAAGATTTGTTCATGCTTATTCTGCATTATTTGGCAAGTTTTGTATTAGTTTGTGCCCACATTAAACATTAATCAGCATTTTGAGATCCTGAAGCCTTTTGGTCTTTTTAATACTCTCCAAACTATTCTGGAGTTAAGACCTCAATATAGGATCAATATAGTCTTGAACAACGTCCTGAAAATCTTTGTGAGTCCATGAAGCTCAAGAGAGCCTCATGACAATATAAACATCATGGAATGGCTAAGATCTTGAAGTTGTACAAACTCAATGAAGTTTTGAACAACGTACTGAAAACATTTATGAGTCGATGAAGCTGGAGAGAGCCCTTTTTACAAATTTGACAATATACTTCATCGAATGGTTCCAATCACGTATTGAATACACTCCAAACTATTCTGGAGCAAAGATCTTGAAGTTCTTAATGCTGAATGTTGTCTTGCACAATGTTCTAAAAATCTGTACGAGTTCATAAAGATCACGAAAGCCACTTGACAACATGCACATCATCAACATCTCATCAACTGTTCTGGTGATCTTGAAGTTCTACAGACCCAATAAAGCCTTGAACAATATCTTGAACATCTTTATGAGTCCAGACAGTTCAAGGGAGCCTTTTGACAACATGCACATTAGGGTGGGTCAACTTTACCACCCCCTGTTCCCCACTGCTCTTTCAATGTTTCTTGAGATCCTATTCAACTGTGCAAGAGTTGAACGATTTTGGTTATAATCTCGATTTGCGGATGAATTATAATTGTTGTATATGTCTCAACTGCCCTAACTACACCACTGCCGCACTGGTGGTATTTTCTCTCCAACGCTCACTCCACGGAATCGGAATAAAAGAAGAGAATATTAGGTAGCGATAACGATCAAGAGAGGTCGGGATCAATTACGACACGTCGTCTAGTTTATAGGGATCGACAATTATAAGATTATGAAGATAGGACCAACTCTCACAGAAGGTTGGACTCTGACCTGACTCTCACATTTGGTTGGATAGATTAGAGCTACGATTTATCATGTGTTATGTGTTGTGTAATGGATATTGTAAATATTTATGTAAAGTGTTGTAATTAAATTGGATGCTGGACTAAATATATAAGATATGTTGTGTGATTGAATGGATGAATGTGTTTGTGAAGAAATTGTTTGGCAGGAAATCCAAAACTAAAGCCCACCCTGGTATGGCAGTGCTTTTATTACCCCCTAAACGTTGTTGGGAAAGGTCCGAGAATACTTTACAAAACAACTTTTTCGAAGACTGCAAATCGATTGTACAAAAAGTTACTAATCTTTCACCTTAGCTCATGTGTTCCAGCTCATATATGCGCCTGTACACACTTAGATTTTTTTTTGTCGAGATGGTTACCACCGAGCAGCTCGGCATTTGATTTTGCTGGATCCCAATTTCCCCAAAAACTGCAATTCCGATGTCGTTGACTCAGCGGTTCCAAACGCGACCAAAATACACAATCGCATCTTACCTGTCCGTGGCAATAGCCACCAGATGTAGAATGGAAGCCGTACAGCACAGGACGTCGCAGGACGTCCAAATATCACATAGTTCGGGGCCCAGAATCCAGCCTTGGCTTATCTGCAAAAAAAAGAACCCATTAGCGCACGTCTCAGCGGCAAAGACGTTTTCTCAATCCGGTCTTCCGGTTTCCTTTTCAGGCTGCTGCTAATTATTTCGCCAAGTTTGGCGTGCACAATTGGAGCAGTAACAGGAAAACGGAACCGAACCGGCACAGATTCCCGCTCATTTATCTTTTGCGAGTGCGATTGTGTGCATTTTAAACAATGCAGCTGCTCCCCTCGGTCGGTTGGCATGCAATCGGCAGACTGCGCGCACCGACCTTGTATTGCAGTTGTCAAGACACGGGGACGGATGCGCACCCGGCACAGATCCGAAATCTGGCTCCACGTGGTAATTACCTCATAAACAGCACCCAACGGCATAACTAAGCACGCTACGAATAAATCTGCCACGGCGAGTGACGCTACTAAATAATTGGCTACATTTTGTAAATTACGTTCTAATATGATGGCAGCAATTACAAAAACGTTTCCTGCAACGAGAGTGAAAGAGAATATTTTACAGGTGAGTGCACGGAAAAATGCCAGGAAAAGAATGTAATTAATGCGAAAATGATGATGACGGTTTGACTAATTGATTCAAATGCACTTATGTAATGTCCACACTCACCTATAACGGTAACTAGTATCATCAGTCCGAGGATGAGTGACGTCACCGCCATCGCAATGACGTCGGCCAGGGGTTCGTCCAGCCCGGTTGTGGTGCCGTTTCCGACAAGGTCAGTCCCGTTGGCAGTGCCATTGAGCAGTAGAGTGTCATTCATGAAGCTTCCGAACTCGTCGGCCAGGTACGAATCGGGGCTGCCACTGTTGATGAATATTAAATCGTACACATCTGTCCGGGCATCGTTGCGTCCGGGAGAAGAGTGAACCATAAAATATGCATCACATCGGTCAGTTGTTTGTATGTATGTTTCGGAATGCGGTGTATTTGCCCGTGTGGTTGATAGAAATGGAACAGAATGGTGAATTAGTGCCGGTTTGAAAAAGAGTACCAAGCGATTCGCTTCGGGATGCGTTGGTTGGAGGAGGCTGTTGCTTGCCAACTGAATAAATCATTAACAAAATTTACCTAAAGGATTATGCCAAATTGGAGCACGGTTTGTTGATCTACTTTGCTTGGAACCTGGTGGCTATGAAAGTTTGTCTGATTTATGTACAGCAGATGCATATACCGTGGTATTATACATTAGGTTCCTTTTAGGATAAGGTTTGGTACAGTTGCATCCATCAGTTCGAAGTTAGTGTTCCTGTAGATCTTCAATTGTTGAAGTGGTGGAGATCCAAATTTTCTCGGAGTTCTCAGGAGTTATAAGCAGTTCTGGAGATCGAAAGGGTCATAGAGGTACTGAAGGTTATCTTTACCAACAAACCAGAGTGCCAAGTTGTATGATTTATTGGACAGTTCAATTAATGTCAAGGCAGCACCATGAATTTTAGGAGAATTGCAAGAGCATCAGGGAAGATCAGAGAACCTCTGGGTAGGTCAATATACTTCAAGGAAATTTCTGGAACGATACAGAAGCTCAAAGAACCTCAAGGAATTTTGGAAAACATCAGCAAAGCCCCGAGATCCAGCGAACATAAGATAAGTTTAAAGATTTTGTTTTGCAGTTTCATCTGTTTCCGAGATGTTCCGAGTATTTCTAGAAAGATCAGCTTCATTAGTTACTTGCAGAATCATTCAAGAAGTTCCGATGAATTATATATTATTTGGAGACTTTCAGAAATGTTTCATTTTTTATTTGGAAAATTGCTTGGGATTTGCTGCAAATTTTGTTGAAGCTTGCAATACTTCCTTGAAGCTCATGGAATTTCCTTTGAATTTTCTTGACTTCTCAGAAGTTCCCTAAATGTTTTCTTTCTTTCGCTAAATTTGTAATTAGTTCTCGGAACTTCTCTTATTGTCCATCATCTGTTCTAATATCTAAAGAACTTCAAGAATGTTCCATAAATTTTAGAAAAGATTAAAGTTTCCTAAATTTTATCTTAGGTTCCCTAAATATGCAAGTAGTTTTCAGATCTTCTCATATGGTACAATATCTCTTCTAATATTTATGGAACTTTCAGAAAGTTTCAGAAATATAAAAAAAATTAAGCTACTAAATTTTCACTTACGTTCCCCAAATTTGCAAGCAGTTCTCGGAACTCCTCTGGTGGTCCAACATCTTTCCTTATATTTATGGAACTTCAATTCTGTTCCATAAATACTAGCAAAGATCCCAAGTAACATTGCAAGTTTTATTGAGGTTTTAAAGCATTCTACAAGTCTACAGAACCTTCATAAAACCACACTTGTTACTTGGGATTGAAGTTCCATACATTTTCTCTTACTTTCCCTAAAGTTGTAAGTAGTTTTTGGAACTACTTTTATCGCCCAACATCTGTTCTAAGATTTTAAAAACTTCTAGAGTGTTCCATAAATATTTGAAAAGATTAAAGTTCTCTGAATGTTATCTTACGTTCCCAAAATTTGCAATTTGTTTTCGGATCTTCTCTTATGGTCCAACATCTGTTATGAAACTTCAAAGATGTTCCATAAATAATTGAAAAAAATGAATTTCTCAAAATTTTCTGTTAAATTTCCTAAATTTCCAAGAATTTCTCGAAACTTCTCTTATTGTCCAACATATTTTCTAATGTAAAGGTACTTCAAGGATGTGCAATGAATAATAAAAAGATTGAAGTTCCTTAAATTTTTTTTTAGGATTCCTTAATTTGCAAGTAGTTCTCAAAATTTCTTTTATGGTCCAAAATCTGTTGTTCCATAAACATGAGAAAAGATTTTGAACCATTAGAGAAGTTCCGAGAACTTTTTGCAAATTTAGGGAACGAAAGAGGAAATTTAGGGAACTTCAGCAAATTTTATAGATTTTAAATGAAGGAAGTTCCATGAGCTTCAAAGAAGTATTGCAAGGTTCAGAAAAAAATACGGGAGCTTCAGAGTAGATCAAAGAACCTCAAGGCAGTTAATTTATTTTATGAGTAAATTCGGGGACTTTTAGAAAATCCTCAGAAATTCAGGAAAGTCTAGAGAACATTATTAAAGCTCAGAGATCTCTAGCGCAGTTTCAATTACTTCAGGAAACCTCTGAAAACTTCAGAAAAGTGTAGACTTTTGGGGAAGTTTTAAGATCGTGAAGAATCAGTTGTTTTGGCTTATCAGTCGTTAAGAAAAAGTGTTGATTAAAGTTTTAGTATCGTCGATGTATCGATCTAGAAGTTACGATCATCATCAGGGCTTGTATTAATTGAAGATAGTAGAAATTTTTGCACCAAAAGAATTACATACCCTGATGAAGGCCTAGTCCAAAGACCGTAGTTTTGATCCACCGTTAAACTAAAAAGTCAATATTTGAATTTTTTTGTATTTTCAAGTTTTATTGTTAGCACAGCAAGCTCAGTACCCTTGATTTAATTCGAGAACTAAATTATACATACATTTCAAAATAACATTTAAGGGGCGAAAATATGAAAAATCAGTGAGTAACCAGTTCAAAATTTACCAGGAAATGCTACTGAAATGGAACAGTAGAAAATCAAGTTTGTGAATAAATTAATATTGGAATGATCCACAAATCATACATTATATTATTTTTCATGTGCTGTAAACATTTTTTTGATTTTGATTCATAAACCTTGGAAAATTGCTTATTTTACTGCGAGCTACTCAGATTAACTGTGCGGTCCTTAATTATTAAGTAAGATGAGCGGAGCGGCGGGCAAGCATAAAGAATAATCGTCCAAAATAATCTTCCTAAATAATTTTCCAAAATAATTTTCCTCGAACACAATCATGCAAAACCACCTTGCAAAATAATCTTTCAAAATAATCTTCCAAAATCATCTTCAAGCATTAGCTTCCAAAATAATCTCCCAATATAAACTTCCAAAATATGCTTTCTAAATAAGCTATCAAAATGATCTTCCAACATAATCTTCTAAAATAATCTTCCAAAAAAATCTTTCAAAATAAACTTCCAAAATATGCTTCAGCACAAGATAAAAATAAGCTGCCATAATATTAATCCAAAATAATCTTCCAAAATAATCTTCCAACACAATCCTGCAAAACAATCTTGCAAAATAATCTTCCTAAATAATCTACCAAAATAATCTTCCAAAATATGCTTCCAAAATAATATTCCAATATAATCTTCCAAAATCATTTTCCGAAAAAATCTTCCAGAATATTATTCCAAAATAAGCTTCCAAATTAATCTTTCAAATTAATCTTTCAAATTAATCTTTCAAAATAATCTTTCAAAATAATCTTTCAAAATAATCTTCCAAAATAATCTACCAAAATATAATTCCAAAATAAGCTTCCAAAATATACTTCCAAAATAAGCTTTAAAAATAAGCATCCAAAATATGTTCCAAAATAAGAGTTCAAATTAATCTTTAAAAGTAATCTTTCAAAATAATCTTCAAAAATAATAATCTAAAATAATTGTCCAATATATGCTTCATAAATAAAATATCAAAATAATCTTCCAAAATATTCTTCTAAAATAATCATCCAAAATAATCTTTCAAAATAAACTTCCAAAATATGCTTCAAAACAAGCTTAAAAATTAAGCTTCCAAATTTTTTATCAAAAATAATCTTCCAAAATAATCTTCCAATATGACCTTCAAAAATAATATTCCAAAATCATCTTCCAAAATAATCTTCCAAAATAATCTTCCAAAATAATCTTCCAAAATAGCTTCCAAAATATGCTTGCAAAATAAGCTTCCAAATAAGCTTTAAAAAGAAGCATCGAAAATAAGCTTCCAAAATAATCTTTCAAAATAATTATGCAAAATTATCTTCAATAATAATCATCCAAAATATGCTTCCTAAATAACCTATCAAAATAATATTCCAAAATAAGCTTCTAAAATAAACTTCCAAAATAATGTTTAAAAAAAAACTTCCAAAATATGCTTCAACACAAGCTTAAAAGATAAGATTCCATAATATTTATCCAAAATTATTTTCCAAAATAATCTTCCAGAAAATGCTTTAAAATTAATCTTCCAAAATATGCTTCCAATGTAAGCCAAATAAGCTTCCAAAATAATCTTCCAAAATAAGCTTCCAGAATTAGATTCAAAATATGCTGCCACTTGGAAGGTTATTTCCAAAATAAGCTTCAACACTATGTTTCCAACATATTTATCCAAAATAATCTTCCAAAATAATCTTCTAAAATAATCTTCCAAAATATACTTTCAAAATATTCTTCAACACAAGCTTTAAAAATAATCTTTCATAATATTTATCCAAAATAATCTTCCAAAATAATCTTCCAACATATTCTCTTCAAACATAATCTTCCAAAAAAATCTTCCAGGATAATCTTCCAAAATAATCTTCCAAAATAATCTTCAAACATAATCTTCCAAAATAATCTTCCAAAATAATCTTCCAAAATAATCCTCCAATATAATCTTCCAAAATAATCTTCCAAAATAATCTTCCAAAATAATCTTCCAACACAATCTTTCAACACAATCATCCAAAATAATCATCTTAAATAAAGTTCCAAAATAATCTTTCAAAATAAATTTCCAAAATATGCTTCACACAAGCTTTAAAAATAAGATTCCATGATATTTATCCAAAAAATTCTTGCAAAACATGCTTCCAACCCATGCTTCAAAAATAATCTTCCAAAATCAGCTTCCAAAATATACTTCCGATGCAAGCCAAATAAGATTCCAAAATAATCTTCCAAAATAAGATTCCAGAATTAGATTCAAAAATACACTGCCACTATAACCTTCCAAAATAAGCTTCAACACTAAATTTCCATCATAATTATCAAACATAATCTTCCAAAATAA